TTATCTTATCGTGTTACGCTTATTTTAAAATTATTTCAAATAAAGGGAAATTTCCAATAAGTGAAACACAATTAACTAAAACAGAGAATGAGAACACAAAGTAATTTAAAGTGCTGAGTATTTTTATCTATTTTTATCTAAAATCTAATTTTTTTAAGTTTGTTTTGGGATGATCATGAAACACAAAAAACAGACCTGCTCATCGTCATGTTCCAAGCTGAAATGCCAATGTTCCCAAACATTCCTACGAGATGCCTTTTTCCCAAGTGGTAATATAGTAACACAACCTAATGATACCTGAAATGTCACATTAATTTCTATAGATCGGTTAAGAGACATTCTATTTTAGCACTCCTTCCTTAAAAACATTTCAAGAGACAATAACCTAAATCAAGGGTAGTCAACCTTTTAATACCTACCGCCCACTTTTGTATCTTTGTTGATGGTAAAATTTCCTTACCACCCACCAGTGCCACAATAACTTATTTTATAGTGCAATTTTGTTTTGTTTTTTTGTTTTTTTTTTAGAAAGGAGGTGTTTCTTTTCCAAATATGTGCTTAAATTTATCTATTTTTTTCCTCTTTTTTCTATTTTATATTCTACTTTTTTTTCTATGTGTGTGAGGTGCGCTGTGTGAGGTGTGCTGTGTTTGTGTGAAGGATGCAGTATGTGTGTGAAGGGTGCTGTGTGTGAGAAGGGTTCTGTGCGTGAGGGGGCAGTGTGTATGAAGGGTGCAGTGTGTGTGTGTGAAGGGCGCTGTGTGTGAGAAGGGTGTTGTGTGTGAGGATGCTGTGTGTGTTTGAGAAGGGTGCTGTGTATGTGTGAGAAGGGTGCTGTGTGTATGTGTGAGAAGGGTGCTGTGTGTGTGTATGTTAAGGGTGTTGTGTGTGTGTCAGAGGTGCTGTGTGTGAGGATTGCTGTGTGTGTGAGGATTGCTGTGTGTGTGAGGGTTGCTTTGCATGTATGAAGGGGGCAGTGCATGTGTGAAGGGGGACAGTGCGTGTGTGAGGAGGCAGTGCGTGTGAGGGGGCAGTCTGTGAGTGTGTGATGTGTGCATAGGGTGTGTGTAGGTGGGTGAGATGTGAAAATCTTTCTTAATGTCTCCCCTTCCTTCTTCATAGCTTTTACCAGGGAGGGGGCATGGGTCGGCAGGGTAGATGAAAGAATCTCCCCTGTCAGCCTTGGTCCATGACCATCAAAGTCCACTGGGCGTTTCTTGCAGAACCCACCACCGCCCACCTGAAATCCCAAACCGCCCACTAGTGGGCGGTAGGGACCAGGTTGAGTACCCCTGACCTAAATAAATTAAAGGGAAAGAAAGGGATAATTAAAATGTACTAATTTCTTGAAAATAGACATGCCCCTACTCGCGGTATAGCGAGTAGGGGCATTCGGGAGATTTTAATCTCCTTTATGCTATTATGGGGGTCATATTGACCCCCATAGAGTGAGGGAGGACATGGGGGAGTTAGGAAGTGGCGGGGAGCACTGCTCCCTGCTGCTTCTATTTTTACATATTAAAGTGAGGGAGCTGCGAGACGGTAGCTCCCTTCCTGTAATAAACTAAATGAACGATGAAGAGGTATTTGTTCATTCATTTGAAATGTCTATTTATTCATTTGTATTTCTGACGAATGAATGAATTGACAAAATTCATGTCCGAATGCCCCAGTGTTTAACTGGGCATGCGCGGGAATTAAATAGCACTATCCAGTGAGTGCAGATGACATGTCCCACAGGGTCTTCATCTGCCCACACAAAGATGGCGACGCTCAGAACCTAGGTTCAGGCATAAAATAAAATAATTTAAAAGGTAAATTGGGGGGTCAAGGGGCATTTGGACAAAAGGACAGAAGGTGCCTTTAGCAAGTGTGTTAAAAAAGGATAAGCTTAGAGAATGAAGGGGGAAGTTATCATCATGGGTGACTTTAATCTTCCTGATGTGAATTGGAAAACAAAATTAGCTACTTGTGCCAGGAGCACACATATTCTAAACTCACCTGGGATTGTCTCTAAAACATAGAGCCAACTCATAAGGAGGCCATACTAGATTTAGTGTTAACAAATGGAGATTTGGTATCAGATATTACTGTAGGTGAAAGTTTAGGATCCAGTGATTATCAGTCAGTGTGGTTTAATATAAGAATAGTGACTGAGTCACACCACACAAAAACAAAAGATTTAGACTTTTAAAAAAATACTTTTCTAAAATTAGAATATGTGTAAAGGAGTTATTATCAAATTCGAGCAATTTAAATAAAGTCCAAGAGAAATTAGATTATTTAAAAGTTGCACTGCTGAAGGCAACAGAAAATTGCATTATGCTTGTCAGTGAAAACAAAAAATTTAAGAAACCACTATGGTTCTGCAGATGTGGCCAAAATAGTAAAAAACTAAAAGTTAGCATTTAGTAATTATAAAAAGACCCAGAGTGAGGAAGACAAAATGCTCTATAAGATTAGGCAGAAAGAGGCTAAGCAAGTTATAAGAGCTTCCAAATCACACACAGAAGAGAAAATAGCACAGTCAGCAAAAAAAGGGGACGAAACATTTTTTAGTTACATAAATGAGAAAAGGAAAGTAAAACAAGGATTAGTTAGATTAAAAACAAAAGAAGGAAGGTATGTAGAAGAGGATAAAGGTCTAGCTGACTGCCTCAATTAATATTTTTTTTTTAGTATTTACAGATGAAAATGAAGGAAAGGGACCTCAGTTAGGAAAAATTACACGAGTCATTTATTACATGTGAGTTTACAGAGGAAGAGGTTCTATTTCAACTGTCAAAAGTAAAGACAAATAAGTCAATGGAACCGGATGGAATACACACAAAGTTATTAAAAGAGCTTAGTGGTGTACTAGCAAAACCATTAACAGATTTATTTAACCAATCATTGTTAACAGGAGTAGTCCCAGAAGATTGGAAGTTAGCAAATGTTGTGCCCATTCACAAGAAAGTTAGTAGGGAGGAGTCGGGCAACTACAGGCCAGTAAGCCTTACTTCAGTAGTGGGGAAAGTAATGGAAACCATGTTAAAGATAGGATTGTTGAACATCTAAAAACACATGGATTTCAAGATCAGAGACAACATGGGTTTACTTCAGGGAGATCATGCCAAACTAATCTTATTGATTTTTTTGATTGGGTAACTAAAATAATAGATCAGGTTGGTGCAGTAGACATTGCTTACCTAGATTTCAGTAAGGCTTTTGACACTGTTGCACATAGAAGGCTTATCAATAAATTGCAATCTTTAAGTTTGGATTCCAATATTGTTGAATGGGTAAGGCAGTGGCTGAGTGACAGGCAAAAGAGGGTTGTGGTCAATGGAGTATATTCGAAGCTTGGGTTTGTCACCAGTGGGGTACCTCAGGGATCTGTACTTGGACCCATTCTCTTTAATATTTTTATTAGTGATATTGCAGAAGGACTTGATGGTAAGGTATGTCTTTTTGCTGATGACATTAAGATATGTAACAGGGTTGATGTTCCAAATGGCAAATAATTTAGGTAAACTAGAAAAATGGTCAGAGTTGTGGCAACTGACATTTAATGTGGATAAGTGCAAGATAATGCATCTTGGACGTAAAAACCCGAGGGTAGGGGGCGTGGCTTCAACGCTGAGGAGAGAAGACGCATGTCGGCTAAGCTCCCGCGGCGGGCATAATAAACAGCAAGTACTGGGGCACATACCTACCCTAAACCAGCCCGGGACCGGGTCAAACAATACAGCACACAATGGGGAAGAAGGTGAAAAAGCTAAAAACCCTTACCGGGAACGGCTCCGGCGATATTGCTGACCTCCTACAGCCGTGGCCTAGGCCCAAAATGGCGCCACAAATAGACGCATATTATACATCCTCTGAGGAAGAACTCCTAGACGCACCTGACGAAATACCCTGTCCAGGGAGCATGAACAGCCCTCAAAGAGAGGAAGACCTAACAGCCCCAGCTACAAAAGGGGACATCAAAGCTCTATTAACAAACATAAGAGCCTTCTTCAATGCAGACTTGAATATCATGCGTGAGGATATAACAGTGGTGACAGCAAGACTGCAGGCTAACGAGGATGCCATCACCTCCCTAGCCCAAAAGCAAGAAAGCACCAACGAGCACTTGCTACAGCTCCAAGCATCACACAAAAGCATGCAGGTCAGACCGGACACCCAGGACGACGCAAGGAGGCATAATAATCTTAAAATCAGGGGTATAGCCGAATCAGTTACCGAACAGGAACTGCCCCATTTCTTACGCCGGCTATGGACTACCCTACTGCCACAGCGCTCTGCGAAGGGCATTCAGGTAGATGGCTGCTACAGACTGGCCAAGTCAAACAGGGCCCCGGCTGGGGTTCCCCGAGACGTCCTGATACGTTTCCCGCTACTTTGTGACAAGCTGGCCCTGCAGGATGCTGCAAAATCCAGAACACCTCTTAAGTTCGAGGAAATGCAACTCCAACTCTTACAGGACTTATGCCGCTCCACTCTGGAATGGAGACGGTCTTTTCAACAGGTGACAAAGATCCTACGCTCTGCAGACATCAGCTACAAATGGGGGCCCTCTCGAGCTCTAATAGTCCATAAAGACGGGAGTATGCATCAGCTTTCCACCGCAGAGGACTCAGCGACATTCCTGCAAGGACTGGGCCTTACCATGTCTTCTGACAACACGGCACGTCCAAGTCACAGATGGGACGTACGCAGGATTGTCCCTTTTACCCCACGCTCTGCAGATGACACCGGCTGACTGATGATGCACCAGCAGTCACAAGGAACTGGACTGATTCCCTCACCAGTACCAGATACCGGTCAACCCCTGATGTTTAAATGTTATCGTTTTAATGTTTCGTTAGTATGCAGCACCGCCCGGCACTGTTAGAGTTCCCGGGTCATAGATAATGCAGATGACCCTAGGCGACAGCACACTTCTTACAACATGTCCCGATTAGAGGACACAGACACCGGAGATTCCCCTCCGCTCACCCCCCCAACACTCTGGGGTAATTGAGTGTAAATCGACAATCAACACACCCGACTGACCACAGTATTGCCTAAGTGTAAGACAGGACCACTGCTTCCTTACATAAGACCCACAGGGCTGGGTCACTCTCCTAGGCCCACGGTCTTGGCACCATTATCACGCCCTACATTACTTAACGTAACATGTAAATATAAGATAACATACCACAGCGCACTCTTACCTGACACAAGCACTAAGTGTAGTATTATGTCAACTCGCTAAGTGTTAACTACCTTAATTAAAAAAAAAAAATGCCTTACTGCTCTCTACTGTGCTAAGGCTACTGAAGTGTGGCATACGAGAGCTGTTGTAACGCAGTACCTGTGTCCTTTTTCATATGTTCTCGCTTATGTTGTCTTTATTTTGTTTTCTTATGCTCTGTGGGCAAAACGGAGCTACCTCCAACTAAGAAAATTGCTACCGGTACCCAGTGGCACAATTACAGTATTGTTCAGCATAACAACTCAGCATGTCTATATTAGCTAACAGCTCTATGCAACTCCTCATACTTTACTCACCGTACTACCTTACAATGATTAGCCACATGCCTATGTTTATGCAAAGGTCAGCCACTCTCCCTTCACAGTAGCTCCAGACATCTACTAGTTAGCCTGAAAGCTAAGCTACCATAAAATCTTTAAAATGTGCGATGTATACAAATGCCATAACCCATTTTTATATGTCTTGTTATCAATCTGTGTGCAGAGGCTGTTGTGGCTTACTGAACACTATGTTATTTCTTTGCACGCTATAAATAAAAAAAAAAACTAAAAAAAAAACCCAAGGGCAGAGTACAGAATATTTGATAGAGTACTAAACTCAACATCTGAGGAAAGGGATTTAGGGGTGATTATTTCTGATGACTTAAAGGTAGGCAGACAATGTAATAGAGCAGCAGGAAATGCTAGCAGAATGCTTGGTTGTATAGGGAGAGGTATTAGCAGTAGAAAGAGGAAGTGCTCATGCCATTGTACAGAACACTGGTGAGACCTCACTTGGAGTATTGTACACAGTACTGGAGACCGTATCTTCAGAAGGATATTGATACCTTAGAGAGGGTTCAGAGAAGGGCTACTAAACTGGTTCATGGATTGCGGGATAAAACTTACCAGGAAAGGTTAAAGGATTTTAACATGTATAGCTTGGAGGAAAGACGAGACAGGGGGGATATGATAGAAACATTTAAATATATAAAGGGAATCAACACAGTAAAGGAGGAGACTATATTTAAAAGAAGAAAAACTAGCACAACAAGAGGACATAGTCTTAAATTAGAGGGGCAAAGGTTTAAAAATAATATCTGGAAGTATTACTTTACTGAGAGGGTAGTGGATGCATGGAATAGCCTTCCAGCGGAAGTGGTAGAGGTTAAGTGAGGGAATTTAAGCATGCATGGGATAGGCATAAGGCTATCCTAGACTTAAAGCGGCACTGTCATGCCGAAATTATCTTTCCTCAATCCCTTCCTCTTCTCCCCCTCTCTCAGGATCTGTTCTTCTTTACTTCCTGTCTTCTTTAGTTTTCTTTAAAGTCATAAGACAAAGTAGGGACTCTTTGCCTTATGGAGGTTTCCTACGCTTGACCAGCGGAGGAGCACAGTGTGCTTCATTTCTGCTGGTCAGAGCAATTTTCCCATAATTCTTACCTTTCCTCAGTGTTCCCGCGATGCTTCCTGTAATTTTAGACGAAACTGCCGAATTGCGTTCTAACTGAATGAGAACAGTATGTTTGTTTGTTTTAGAACTCAATTCGGCACTTTGTTCGTATCGGAATTTCATTCCAATGAATGAAACTCCGATCTTATTCATTGACGCGGCTGCATCTTGCAGCCGCTTAGTAGATAACTCCCTAATTCCCACGGTATCAGGGAGCTATCTACCAAAAGGCTGAAAGACCTAAATTGGTCTTTCAGCCACATTTACTAATATTAAGTAAAGATTACTTAGTATTAGTAAATAATATGCCCCTACTCGCTATACTGCGAGTAGGGGCATGTCTAGTAAACAGTGAGCAGCCAGTGGCCATAAATTACAATGGGGGGACCTACTGTCCTCCCCCCACCCGGCCCCCACCCTTGAGCAGTGGGTGGGGGCCATAAAGATAATGAAGGGGGAGGACCTACTGTCCTCCCCCCGGCCCCCACACCTGCGCGGTGGGTGGGGGCCATAAATTACAATGGGGGGAACCTACTGTCCTCCCCCTCAGCCCCCACCCTTGAGCGGTGGGTGGGGGCCATAAATTACAATGGGGGGGACACCTACTGTCCACCCCCCGGCCCCCACCCTTGAGCGTGGGTGGGGGCCATAAAGATAATGAGGGGAGGGAACCTACTGTTCTCCCCCCCGGCCCCCACCCCTGGGCGGCGGGTGGGGGCCCTAAGACAAATCTCCCCCAAAGGTGACTAGGGGATCCACAACCTCTAGTCACCCACCCCCCCACCCCCAAAAAAAGTTACCCCTACCTACCCCCCTCACCCTAAAAAATGAGGGGGGAATAAAATAACTAACCTGTAAAGAAAAATTAAACTTACATTTGATGTCGTCTTTTTTCTAAAATCTTCCTTTTTCAGCCCCAAAAAAGGCCAAATAAAAAAACATCATACTCGTCGAACTTAAAATAAAATAAAAAACCCGAGTGCCAAAAAAAAAATCCATCTTCACCCATGGAGGGCTCCGCACAGACTGAGCTCTGCAGGGCGGGGCAAGGCTTACAAAGCCTTGCCCCGCCCTGCAATTAGGCTAAGAACACTCTGATTGGCTGGTTTAAATCGGTTGAAATCCATGAAATCCATCCAATCAGAGTGCTTTGTGTCATTTTACACAGCGTGGGAAAGTTCTTTGGAATTTTCCCACGCTGTGTAAAATGACAAAGAGTACTCTGATTGGTTAGATTCCAAGCCCATCAATCAAAGTGTTATGAGTCAAATTACACAGCGTGGGAAAATTTCAAAGAATTTTCCCACGCTGTGTAAAATGACACAAAGCACTCTGATTGGGTGGCTTGAAATCCATCCACCAATCACAGTGCTCTGTGTCATTTTACACAGCGTGGGAAAATTCCAAAGAACTTTCCCACGCTGTGTAAAATGACACAAAGCACTCTGATTGGATGGATTTCGAGCCACCCACTGTTTAGTAAACATGCCCCTACTCGCGGTATAGCGAGTGGGGGTATTTTGGCGATTTTAATGTCCCTTATACTATTATGGGGGTCATATTGACCCCCATAGAGTGAGGGAGGACATGGGTTGCTTAGGAAGCGGGGCAGAAAATAAAGAATAAAAAATAGGTAATATGGGGGGTTTAGGGCCATTTGGGGGTGACTAAGGGGTCAATTAGATGTAGTGGAGGCGGGAGGGGGGGTTAAACAAAAATGGGATTCGGCCATGACAGTGCCGCTTTAAGATAAGGCCAATGAAAGTATTTAGAAAATTGGGCAGACTAGATGGGCCAAATGGTTCTTATCTGCCCTCACATTCTATGTTTCTATGACTAGGGGCACTATAAAATGTATTGGAGTCTGAAGGGGGGGTTTAAAAAAAACAGATGCGGCCATGACAGTGCCGCTTTAAATTTTTGAACAGTATCATTTTGAGGGAGTAACATAGAGGATTAAGTACTTACCTGCACTAAGAAATAAAAGGTTCTCTTATGCCATAACTTAACCCCTTAAGGACACATGACATGTGTGACATGTCATGATTCCCTTTTATTTCAGAAGTTTGGTCCTTAAGGGGTTAAAGAAGGGTCACTGAAGATTTAGGTGCTGAGTATGACCAGAAAAAACACTTTTGTTGTTTTGTTTAGAAAAATTGGGATGTTCTATTATTATCTTCATATAGAATGCAATATTCATTTTAGTATTTTATTATTTTTTTATGCTGAATAAAGCAGGTAGTACATTTATTTCCCACCTAATTTTATTTGTTTTCAAGCAGGCTCCACAGAAAAATCCCATGAATAATGTCTGCGGCTTGCTGTCAGTCAGTCCAAGTGAGGGTGTTATCAGGGATTTTGCTGAGGGAGTGCAGAGGAGACACCGCAGACAGAATAAGGGGAATCAGCCGTGTGTTTTGCTGCTGTCTGTAACAGTGTGGTTTTCATACGGTGTTTATTTTCTTTGTTTCCCGCGACAGGGCACTTTTTTCGATAAAGTTTGTAATTCAACACCTTATTAACCCCTTCAATGACAAGTGTTATTGTATCATTTTTTTCCAAGTGTGTTTACACTGATGAATTTTCTAGTAAATGGTCTTTTGATGCCCTAAATACACACAAACAAAATAATGCCATTAAAGGACCACTCTAGGCACCCAGACCACTTCAGCTTAATGAAGTGGTCTGGGTGCCAGGTCCAGCTAGGGTTAACCCATTTTTTAATAAACATAGCAGTTTCAGAGAAACTGCTATGTTTATTAATGGATTAAGCCTTCCCCCTAATCCTCTAGTGGCTGTCTCATTGACAGCCACTAGAGGCGCTTGCGTGCTTCTCACTGTGATTTTCACAGTGAGAGCACGCCAGCGTCCATAGGAAAGCAATGTAAATGCTTTCCTATGCGACCGGCTGAACGCGTGCGCATTCAGCCGACGGGGCGGAACGGAGGAGGAGAGAAGGAGGAGAGCTCCCCGCCCAGCGCTGGAAAAAGGCAAGTTTAAACCCCTTTCCCCTTTCCAGAGCCGGGCGGGAGGGGATCCCTGAGGGTGGGGGCACCCTCAGGGCACTATAGTGCCAGGAAAACGAGTATGTTTTCCTGGCACTATAGTGGTCCTTTAAGGATTAATAAACTGCAAAATCGAAGGATCCCCCCCCTAACTACACTAAAACATAATAATGCCATTAAAGGACCACTCTAGGCACCCAGACCACTTCAGCTTAATGAAGTGGTCTGGGTGCCAGGTCCTTCTAGGGTTAACCCATTTCTTCATAATTATAGCAGTTTCAGAGAAACTGCTATAATTATGAATGGGTTAAGCCTTCCCCCTAATCCTCTAGTGGCTGTCTCATTGACAGCCACTAGAGGCGCTTGCGTGCTTCTCACTGTGAAAATCACAGTGAGAGCACGCTAGCGTCCATAGGAAAGCATTGTAAATGCTTTCCTATGCGACGGGCTGAATGCGCGCGCAGCTCTTGCCGCGCGTGCGCATTCAGCCGGCGGGGCGTAACGGAGGCGGAGAGGAGGAGGAGAGCTCTCCGCCCAGCGCTGGAAAAAGGTAAGTTTTTACCCCTTTCC